CTTCTTTGCAGTACGCTATGAACGAGGGATGAATGAAGATGAGACTGATAGCATGTTTACCAAAGATGGTTACTGAGAAACTGTTCTTGCTAATTGTTTTATTACAAATTCTACTGTGTGACACTATGGGGAATGGGCTACTTGACACTTTATTAGTTCCTTCTGAAAAACGAGTAAGAAGATTATTAACTAGTGGCTAAATTCTGCCCTCTAATACATGTGTGCAATTTTAAGTCCGTGGAAGTTAACTGAATTTGGCTTTAGCTGTAAATCTTGCACAAGGTAGAAGTTCCCTGAGCCTCTATACCTCTGTGATTCCATATTAAATCTGGGTATTGCCTCTAAAATCTTTACCTACATTATCTTTTTTTTTGGTAAAGCTTTTTGGGGGGTTGCGGGTGAGGAATAGACATTTAAACCACACAAACTTAAAAGTAAATATCTAGCTTTTTACAGGCAATTATTGATTAAACCGTTGGTGTCAAAAGACATACATTTTGAGATACAGTACATGCCCTGTTTCTATCATTGGGTCCTCCTGCAACAACTAGCACAAAATATGATGATAAATACTAGATAAATGATATTTGGAATAACCACTTTTGTAATAACTTATTAATGATCAACTGTAATATAATACAGAGGGGCTTGTAACCACTGACAATTTCTGTTCTCACTGAGGTAGAAGCTTAACATTTGGTATGCTCATTATGGTCCACTGAGTGCAAGAGAGAGAGAAATTATATCTGAACATTGATTTTTTTTTTTCCTCAGAGGTCACCAAAAAGCCATCATCACTCTTTCCTTTCATATGAATTATTGTTCAGGTGCCCTTCAGAGCTAGAATCATGACATAGAGTATGCTCTTTCAGTGTGGAATTCTATCAATAAGGAAATATTCCTATTAAAAAAACAGGTAACATTTAAGTCTGAGCCTATTGCAGGCTCATACATAATAGCCATGACCTCCGAAGATGCTACTGGTGTCAGCACAACTGAGATTAAGGTCTAAATACAAACCTGAGCAAAATTCAAACCTTATGTAAACACTATGTTACCTTCTAAAAGCAGTTCAATGAATGGTGTATTTTTTCACTGTAAGGAGACTGTCCCTTTTAAGCAAGAATTTTCAGTCGTCTTTTCATAGGCTCTTCTATGTGGTGATGCAAGTACCCCATAGCAGGCATGTTGAAAATCAATTCCTGGGAATGAGGAGGGAGTAGAAAAGGAAGACTAGTCTTTAAACTAGTATTTAGAGAATAACCTTTAAATCTGCCAAAATCCATCCTATGTTTTTAAAGTTGGTATAGAATTAGATCTGAATGACTATGTCCTGCACTAACACATGGGAAAGACTCACAGTTCATTTCCTAGTCTGTTGCACTCCATTGCAGGGCTAAAGGAGTGTTTCAGAGCCAGTATTCCTGGTTCTCTAATGAGGAAATCCATAAGGTTGATGAACCACAGTCCTGCCAGCCAATTTAAGGAGCCTCATTGACTACTTCCTAAGCAAATGCTTGTTGTTCAAGAATAGTTGGAATGATATATTATTTGGAGTGGGTGGTGTGTAAAGTGGGAGAAAAGTCAGGGCAGCAGAGAGTGCTGTGACAGGGACTCTGGAGTAATGGGGGAAAGTTTAGACTTAAAATACAAGGTAATGATCTAGCACAGCTGTTCTGATCACATAATACAAAAGGATAAACACTGTATTTGGTCTGAATAGTATCCTAACTCACATATGGTATGATTAAACATACAACTTACAACTTGATAACAAATAAGGTATTTCCTCTATAATCAGTTTCAGAAATGAGATGAAAATATGTCCCAGGTAGTGAGTGGGAGGGAATGTTTCACAACAAAGTTGTGTGCATACATGCTACAAATTCTTGATCTATTTACATGCAAGTTAAAGTTGTTTTTTTATGTGCTGTGTCAGTTGCCTTTCCTATGTACTCCAAAAAGGCTACTAGAGTGAAGGGTTTTTAAAAATATATATTACTTGATTAAACCATTATAGTAAGTCACTGTATGAAAGTGGAATAATAATTGTAAGAAAAATGTTTCTTAATGCACGTCCTTTTTCAGATCAGACCTGTTTATTGTTTTGAAGGAATATATGCTATTTAAGTAAAAAAACATACTGTACACAAAAGACCAAATTCATTCCTGGTGTAATTCCATTGACATCCGTGGTATTACATCAGGAGTATATTTGGCCAAATATGCTGAGAAATAAATATATAAATAAATAAAAAATAGTAGAGATACTTTTAAGGGAGACAGGCCAAACCTGTGAGCCTCTCTTTTTGTTGCTGATACAACAGTCCCCTTTGTGCTTGTTTGCACTATTCTGATATGCAGTCTTTTAAAATGATACTTGGCGGTACAGTATCTTTCTAGCAAGATTTTTGTAGATGGTTTTAGTACCCATATACAAGAATAGGTACCAGACAAGCACGCTAAAGAAAATAGTTCTGTATTCGATCTCTGATTGGAGAAAAAGTTAAGCACGTTGTCCTTTTGATACCTGGCTATAACTAAGAAAAGAGAGTAAGAAAGAAATTTGTCCTTGTAGCAATTTATGCAAAAAACTATTGAAATTGGCTGCAATACCTTGGAGTAAAGTTTAGGTAAAATGTGAGACTATTTAACCTTGTTGCTGTGGTTCACATATTGCTTTTACAACAGTCTGGTTCTTGTGAATCCTCTATTTTATTATAATTATGAAACATTTATATTACAGTAGCACGAAGCAGAGTGGGGTCTTACTATGGTAAGTGTTGTACAAACACCTGAGAACACAGTTCTTACCTCTACTGTGTATTTAATGTGATAAAAATATTATCAATAAAGCAATAGGCAGCATGGCCATGATCCAGCAAAGCACTTTAACATGCATAATTTTAAGTTAACATAAATGCTTAAATGTTTTGCTGGATGGGGTCTAAATTAGTGGATTTAGAGAAGTTTTGTACTGTATTAAATAAAGTTGTATATGGTTGTCCTTTTCTAACAAAAGTACAGGTCAGGTATTTTTGTACAAATATAAATTAGACACATGTGTGTTCAGCCTTGCTAGTTTTATGACTGTTTGCACTTATGGGCTTGCCTGGATGTGAATTTACAGATAGAAAGTGTATTTTTAATGTTATTACCAAGATAACTAAATTATGATTTCAAGACACATGCATACACAATAAAAGGATAGTGTTTTTATAAAGTGTTTGTGTATTGTTGTGAATTATGTAAATAATTTTGTAAGGCACACTTCCAATGTTTTTTACAATATACTAGTAAATGGAATCTTGGGTAGCTTTTATTTCAGTGAGCACAACTGTCTTAGCATAAATGAACAGCCCACTTTCTGGATTGAAGTGTACAGTGAGGATAATATAAAAACATGCTCTTAAATCTTGAAAGAATAAAATTTATAAAAAGTCAGCCTAATTTTTTTGTTTGTTTCTGTGGGGAAAAATTAACAGAGCTGAATGTCTATACAGCACCTAGCACAATGGTGTTTCTACAATTAAGTAATAACTAATGTTAAGGGGGTTTAGTAGAAACTTTGATAAATTGGTGGCATTTAATTCTTTTTATAATGGAGGAAAACATGTTGCTGTGGAATACAAGAAGACTCCTAATGACTATCAGGCTTCTGCTGCATGGAGCTGGCAATAATTAAAGAGAAATGTGGCCAATTTAAGCATTTAATACATGCTAAGGTCTGATTCACTAGTGTCCCAAGGCTCCTTTCTGCCCATGTAATGAACCTCTAAAGTTGCGGTAACAGCCCCCAAGGGAATTCCCCTGAAAATAGGGGAAGTACCCATCAGGTGTAGTCATCTATCTTCCAGCCTCAAGATACTTTCGGTCTGATGTATAATGAGACACATCAGTTATAAAAAGGCAAAATGGTATGTAAATTTTAAGATTTACTATGAATTCTCTCCTGCCTAAAAGGACCTCTTAAATCTTTCTGGGCCAAATTCTGCCATTCATACTGATATAAATCTCCCATTGACTCTAGTAGGAGCTTTTACCTAAGGACTGCAGAATTTGTGTGTTGTGTGTTTGTTTTGTTAGCAAAGAAGACAAAAGCTCCTATAATGGGGGAGCCTGATTATATGCAGGGCAGATCTTCTTCACTAGTGCTCAAGAATTGAGATCGGGGTTATTTTATCTTAATGTAATAGTATTTGTGAGTGAAGTTCACTGGGTATATTATAAATGTTAACATGCTAAAAGACAAGAACAAGCATGAGAAAATGGGCTTTTTAAAAAGCCCATCTACTTCACCTCACACTGGGAGCTCAGTCATGGACCTCAAAATATTATACGCATCTATATTATTAGTGTCAAGTGTAGTTTAAATTCCTTGGGGAGGGGTTACATCTTCTGTATTTGCACAGTACCCTGTGTAATAAAAGGTGAGACAGGAGTGTGTAAAAGATTGATCTTTTTTTACCCAGCTTCAGTCACATGACATGGGTCAAGGCTACCAAAGTTTCTAGATCTGTGTCTGTCACCTGGCAGAAGTCAGTAGCTACTGTTATTGCTTCCCTCCCCACACCTGCGTTGCCCGTTTTTCTCGTTTTGGAAATAAAATGCAAACACTATAACCCAAAAGTAACCACCACCACTGAATAGAGCCAATTGATAAACACAGACAGCTAGGCCAGGCTTTTCCATTGCAGTTCACAGGCATGTTCGCAGCACAATCGAATACTGTTGAGATTTCAATTCAGTTTTCAAACTTTTGTACTCAAAGCCTATTCCAAGCTAGTTTCCACGTGGAGAGGAACTGACAGAAGTGCCGAGGCCAGGAGTTTAGAGGAGCCATCTAAAAGCGAGGGGGGAAGGTGGAGGACAGAGCACATCTTACACTAGTGGGATGAGGGGAGATTTCTCTTTCGGTTAGTATATTTGCAACGTGCGGTGCACTGTATGTGGTGGCTAATAGAACCGTTCGGAAGGCAGGGCACGCTCGCTCCCTCGCTGCTGAAGGCAGAGCTGGTCCTGGACACCCCAGTCACCTGGGGCTGGGCGTGTTTGCACGGCCTGACTCGCCTGCACGCCCAGACGGCTAGCCCCGGTCATGCCCAGCAGATGCCGCATGGGCCCCGCGCCGGAGCCAGCCCTGTTGGGAGCGGCGCGTTAGCCTGCAGGGCTTGGCAGCTTTCGGGGGCCGCGCTCCCGGCCTCTGCCCCGGGCTGCCCCCGCAGTGGGTGGTGTCCGGCCGGCGCGCTGCTCCCCCCCGCAGGCGCAGCCTTCCGAGAGCCGGCGCGAACTGGAGTGAGCCGGGGCTATGGAGCCCCCTTTCCCCGCGCTGCTCTGCCTGCTCGGCCTCCTCGCCACCGCCTCCGGAGCAGCCGGTAAGGTGCTCCCCTCCCGCGCCTGTCAGCCGCCAGCCTCCGCTCAGGCTGCGGGGCCTCGGGCTCCGAGCCCAGCCATTGTCCCTCTCAGGGCGGGCGGGGTGTGACACCCCCTGCGGGAGGAAGCGCAGCCTACGCTGCTGGGTTTGCGGAGTAGATGCGGCCCCGAGCTCGAGGGACGGTCCCCCACCCCTGTGCATTGTAAGTCTGCAGAGGGGAGGAGTTCACCCTGCCGGTTGCATATTTCCCATTGCGAGAGTGGGGGGTGCTGCGTTGGGCATTGCAGGCCCCTGGGGGTTGCTGCTGTCTGACACTCTTGGCCTGCCATGAAAATAGATATTATCTGGGCTAGAAAAGTAGGCCATGTTTTTAAACGTGTGAGTGAAAACATGTTAACTAGCCCAACCTCAAACAGGACTTTGCACCCATTGCAGCAGATATGGTCAGTCGTGGTTAAAAACCTGCTACCCGGCTGTGGTCAGCCTTTAAGGGAGTATAGTGTTAGCCACAACCAGCAAACGTTTTGAAACACAACCTATTTCCAAATCTAGACAGGGCCACAGTCCCGTTATGTTTTTAGTCTTGCTCCTCCTCCTATAAAATCAGATGAGAGGCAAATTCATTTCCTGTTCCTCATGAGGGGAGAGAAGGCTTTGTGTTGTGTGCTGAGAAGTTTCATTTTCTGGAAAGTCCATTTGGCTAATGTACAGCTATTGAAAAACAATGCAAAGCAAACACCCCTTCAAACATGGAGCATTAAAAAACATAATATAGTCTGGAGCGAGTGCCTTCTCACGCTTTCTTATCAAAACTAATGACCCAGTCCTGCAAAAATGTACACATATGTTCAACTCTAAGCATGTGAATAGTACCATTAATTTTATTTCAGCTGGACAGTTTGAGTGAGTAAAGTTAAGCATGTGCAAAAATATTTGAAGGCTTGGAACCTAATTGTGAAATGAATAGTAACAAAGGAAAGAACCAGTTAAACTAGGGAAAATGACACATGCAATGTGCTCCTGTCAGTTAAATGCCTAATACCTGGGAACTATATTTTTCCCTTACCCAGGGTAGGCTTTAAATAGAGCTTTTCTATTTCTAGTTATATAGTAGGACTATGATCCGACATAATTCTGGTAAAGAAGGTGTGTGCACATTATCAACATGTATATCAGCATTATGGCATAGAAAAAAATCATGTTAGTCTTGCAATTTATGAAAGAATTGCATTGCTGCACAGTCATAATTGTATGATTAAGTGGTTTTGATTTTTCAAAACACTTTAAAAGAAATGAAAAGGGTTTTCTCCTTTTGAATTTTTCAACATTTCTGCACTTTTCCTAGACTAATGCTATTTACTTACTTTTCCATTTCACATGACTAATAAACTGATCAGTGTTATTCGTTAATGCACCAGCACAATACTGCCGTGTTTAGGTTACAAATTGTATAGGGAAATGTTAACTTTTTTTGTTGTTTAAATTTAAACTTTTAATTAAAAAAAGAAAGTTTTAATTGTTATGGTAAAAGTTTCTAATGACTTGCATGCTTGCTTATACATTGTGACCCCATTCAGGATGAAAGACCAAAAGATACTGTGCAGTAAAAATTGAATCCAGACACTAGCTCTCCTTTGTCTGTCAGTTGAGGTACTGAAATTTCTGTATGTCTCAGAGTAGCTACATATAGTAGGAAGATTGTTGCACAAGCTCACAACAGCCTTAGACTAGGGATTTCCCAGATGTAAAACTCAGGTGACAGTGGCTATTTCTTCACTGCATAGTTAACCTGGATGACTGAGCACCTGGGTCAGAGCTCTCAAGTTAGCCTAGTCTTGGGTATCAGCCTCCCCGCTGCAAAGCCCTACCCTAGTTACTGTATCTTCACTGTTTCTGCGCTCACCCATGTGTGTATCTGGGGGCATGGTTCTTTGTGTTGAAATGCTCTAGGATTCGTTTCCAGTCAGTTGGGGAAGAATTTGTCTGTCCTTCAAGGGTAATTGTGGCAAGGCATTGGAGGGCTATCAGCACTTGAATGATTTTTTTCCCCAGAGCCTCATTGCAAGGTGGATTCCAGCCTGAGTTAAAGCAGAGCCCAGATTCTAACTCATACTCCCAGCCTGGTAAGTTAGCCTGGGTTTAAAGCACCTCCAAACCCAGATCAGTGGTCTTTTTTTTTTTTTTTTTTGGTGGATGATAGGACACGTTAACCGGGGCCCTTACCTGGTTTTTAGCCTAAACTGTGCCTTGTAGACATACCCTGTTTGTTAAGGAAAGAGACAGGCAGAAGAGCTGCTTCTGGGAACAGGGTAGACTTGTTTGGGACCTGGGTAAGGGGGAGTTGCCTCTGTGCAGTTTCTTACACCCTTGGTTGTGGAATCAAGGCTTATGTACATTTTGTTAATAAATAAATTACAGTAAGAAAATAACCTGACTCCT